CCAAATATTCAATTAAATTAACAATTTGTCTTACATTATACTTCATATATCTTCCAGTTATAAATCCAGATTGATCACTATGAATCAATTGCCTCAAAACTTGCATTAATCTATTTGCCAATATTTTTGAAAAAATCTTGTAGTCTATATTCAATAAAGATATAGGTCTATAATTCTTGGGCTGAGTCAAATCCTGACCTTCCTTTGGGATCAGCGATATGAACGCCCTTCTCCAAGATGGAGGAACCTCTGCACCCAACAAATACTATTAAACAGTTCCTTTAATGGCTCTATTATTTCATCAGATAACATCTTATCATAAATTGCTGTTAATCCATCTGTACCGGGAGCCTTACCAACCTTTAATTGCTTGATTGCTCCAATAATTTCCTCAGAAGTAATCAAGCAATTCATCTCCTCCTTTTGATTATTTGATAATCAAAATATATATATTTGATCATCAAATATGTGTATTATTTGATAATCAAATATGTGTATTTTTAATCGATTGTTAGCCGCCCTGAGTCCGCAAGGAGAAGGGCGGGATATAAATTTAATTTAATAATAATAATAATAATAATCTAGGAAAATGTGCCTGCTGTAGATAATTCTCTATTTCTGAAAGTTGTATATTCTCAGAGGCATATAACTTTGAATAAAAATCCAAAAAACTACTTTTAATCAAATTTTGTTTATATGTCACTTTGCCTTTATAATCTACTTTCTCTATTATTCTTGACTTCTGCTTCTTTTGTAATTGGTAGGCTAACCACCTGCCAGGTTTATTTGCATTATAAAAAGTATTATGTTTCATAAATCGCAAATTAGTTGCAATCTGATCAGCCAATAACATATTGAATTGCTCCCTAAGCATAGTTATGGCTACCTTTAACTTATTATCCAGTGGATTTAAAATAAAAGCCTTCTCTTTTAGTTTAATCTCCTCTTCTAACTCTCTTCGTTTTTGCATCTGTTTGCGCCTATATGCACTATTCATATGAATCAGAGCACCTCTCATATATGAAATACTACATTTGTTGATGATGCAGTAGCTACTTATTATCACACAACTTTCTAAATTGTCAACAATATTACTTTCCTGGCTTCATGGACAAATTTCAGGATTTTTCAGAACAGAAAGTGAATATCTATTAATGTTGATTAATGTTGATCTGTTAACCTTATCCATATGCAAAACCAGGAGCACATGCCCCCAATGCTGTCCCACCTTTGAGAAAACCAGATTTTATGTATGCATATGTGTGTGTTCATAAATTAAACTTATACAAACTAAATGTATAAAGTACGTATGGTATTCTTTCTTGATAGTTAACTTGTATTAATTCCTAAAGACTTGGCTTCTACTTTCTGATTTGACCTTTTCTGCCTTTAGGAAGCTGAATTGAGGCAGGTGAAATTTCTGCCAGAAATTCTTGCTCTGCAGAAAGACTTGGTGAAGAGATTTCAGAACATCTCAGAAATTGAGCATCGCACAATTGAAGATTTTCTCAGCAGTTTTTCTTCAGGTGAGATTCTCCCTTGCTCTCTGGTTAGACAGCAAAGTTTAAGAGCATTAAAGTATTTACTTAATACCAAGCATATTTAGTAAATAAAGGTGTTTAGCTGATTGGAGAGTATTAATCTGTGCAAAGTCTGTGCTTAGCAAACATTGCAAACCTCGGTAAGGAAAGGAAAGGAGAGGAAAATGGCTAGCTAGTGTCAACGAGACTCGAAGGAGGACACACGTCCTTTCCCTACGAAACTATGTCTACATTCGTTAGGGAAGAAGGAAGACATACCTTCCGTCGAGAACTCCCGTAGGTCCTCGACTCAAGTGTTTTTCCCGAAGGGGACGGTCTTCGGAGGGAGTTGACCCCCACTGGCCTTCTGAGGATTTAGGAAGGAAACAGTCCGGCTTTTGGGCCAATGATGTCCCATGCTTTTTTTTTATCAACTTGATTACTGGCACAAATCATTTAAATTTGTCTTTTCTTCATTTCCTTGTTCTGTGATAGTACATCATCAGGACTGATGCAACCTAGATCAAACAAAGCTAGAATTTTGAAAATTCTCATTCAATGTGGGAACCATAAATCCCTCCTCTCCATTTAGCAGTCCTCCACTTAGGATTAGTTATTTAATGAGAGCAAAAAGGGCTGCCTGCTGAGAGAGGAGGGGAACTCCTTCATTGGGCTGCAGATCTGGAACACAGATCCTGAAGGTCTTGACCTCCACTTCTGCAGCTCCTTGGAGGAGTTCTCTTCCCTGCATGGAAGGGAGGGAAAGTCTTCTGAAGGGCTGCAGAAACAGAGGTCAGATCTCAAGAGGTCTGAGTCTGTTTTTGTAGCTCTTTGAAGAAGTTCTCCTCTGTGCATAGAAGGGAAGGTAACACTTCCATTTTTTTTAATCAGAAAGCAACACATTTTGGCAATATTCCATCTGTTTTTACTCTGTTTCTTGCATTCTCTAGGAGGTGTCAGATTACTAATGAAAGGCAGAGTGGAAAAATTTCTGGATGTGTGGAACAAGCTCAGATTATCCATAGAAACAAATGGTGAGACTCGAGCTTACTTTATCAGTCAGATCAGATTGGAACAATAAGGGATTCCTTGATGCTACCAAAAGAAAAAAGCCATGTTTTATTATCTTCAACTGGCCTACAGACTGTAGCCCATAAAGCCGAAGCTGTAGCTCTCTAAAATTTACTGACCTCATGCATCCTTGATCATTGGCCGTGCAGTTAGGGGTGGGGGTGGGGGGATGAAAGAATTGTACATCAGCAATATCGGGGGGGGGGGGCAGATGTGATGGCAATAAAACATTATATAAGCCAGAAGTGATTCAAAAACAAAGGGGAGTATTCAACAGTAAGATGGCGTCTCTGGCTTCCAAAGTTTTCTGGTTTCCTTCTCCCCTGCAGGTCAAATTAAGCTTCCTAAAGATTATTGCAGTTCGGACCGCACTGTGAAAGATCCATTTGAAATCCTTTTGCCTCGTCGAAGAGGTCTAGGCCTTTGTGCCACATCATTGGTCAGCTATCTCATTCAGTTGCACAATGATTTCGTCAACACCATAGCAAATGATTCAATGGATGCCAATAGGTATGCAGTTCTCTGTTCTCCTTGCAGCTGACAGATACTGCTGAATAAACAGCATAGTTGGTTATCTCTTCTTTTCCCTTCTTACTTCTCAACAGATACTCTGTCAGCCCTGCTGAAGTGGCCGATCTGCACATGATCAGTTACGAAGTAGAAAAGGATTTGATCCCAGTCATCCTGTCCAACTGCCAGTATAGCGTGCAGAAAGGAGGAGAGGCCCTGCAGGAATTTGACCTGGAAAAAATCGAACAGCAAGTTGTCAGTAGATTCCTACAAGGGAAGCCCAGGATCACATTGCAGGTATGTGCACCGTGATCATATTTTCTTGGGGGAAAAAATAAAGGACAAACCTGAAAGGGGGCAAATCTGAAAGAGGAACATCAGGATTAAAAAAAGATAATTGCATATGTTTATAATTTTGCTTTACAGAAGAAAATTCAAGAGCAAAACCAAGAAAACAAATACATAAATCTAAAGGACAGCTGTCTGAAATAAAAGACTGTCCTTTTTAATGAAGGACATATTGAGACTGTCAGGATGCACCATAGAAATGTGAGGCAACTAGTTAGTGTTCCAGAGCCTGTGAGATCCAAACTGCTAGTCCAGAAGAGAGACTTACAAAGAACTGTTGACCAAGCATTTGCTTTGTTCCCTTTCTTAATAGGGCATACCCACACTGATACACAGATGTGACCAAAACTATGAGCATCTGTTCAGCAATATCAAGACAAAGCTGAAAACTCAGGTGAGCTTTTGAAAAGAGAAAAAGACAAGCAAATCTCACTTTCATTCCATTTTGTGCTTATTTACTTGATTGTAAACCATGGGGTGTTCAATATGCATTGCTTATAGGAAGGTGTGTGTTTACTGGGCTGGACCAGTATAACTCTGGCCAGAGCATATATTAGCTTAAGAACTGTGTTAGAGCATTTAGCATTTAAAGGGTTAAATGCTGTCTCCTTAAGAGATGGCTTCTAGGGAATGTAGTCTAGTTGTTAGTCCTATATCTTATCTAGTCAGTGGGAGGTTTATGACAGGATGTCCTGGCTACGTACCAGGGTTGTAAAGCCTTTGTTTTAATCAAGCATCATGTACGCATCGATTGGCATCCATAACCATGCCTAGCTGAGATGAGGAATTATTCCTTTTTTACCTACAAGAATGGACAGATATGCAAATGACCGGATGTATCTACTGCAAAGTAAGTCTCTGCTTAGAATTCCTGGACAATAAATATTTTTTTAAAAACATTTCGTGGAGTTTATGCTATCTGGATCAGAACTATAATGCATCTCAGTTCATGGTTCCAGAAAAGTAAAAAAGGAATAATTCAACTCTATGCATCTGCTTGGCAAAAGTAAAAAAGGAGATATTATTACTCTCCATGCTTGGCAAAAAACTAAAGCTGTATCTTTAACTGGCTGCTTGCTAGCAACATTCCCAGAACTGCATATAACACATCCATACATCTGCTTGGCTGGAGTAAGAAGGACTAAAAATAGATCTCCATGCCTCAGGAAAACAATTAAAGCTGTGCCTTTTCGCAAAGGTGAAAAGAGAGATTTTAAACTGAAACAAGCCTCTTACCCCCCCCTTTCTTTCGCATGCAAACCAGTGTGATTAGAATGCCAGGAATGTGTTTCTGGGGAGTGAAAAGATGTGTGTGTGTTGAAGGAATGCCTTTCCAACAGAAAGGAAGTAATTAAGCTCAAAGTAAATAAAGATAATTTACCTTCCCAACAGAAAGAGGTTGTCTCCTTGATGAAAGTAAGAAAGAATTCTGTTTGAGTTTGACTTGAGAAATATTCAGAACTGGTTTAACAGACAAGCTAACAAAGGAATACCCCTCGTGGAGGCATCGCTTATCAGCTGGGTCGTAAATAGGGCAATTAATTGCTATGACAACTGGCTCTTGCTGGGTGAAAGAGATCCTTCCCCTTGAGATGCCGGCAGAGAAAGAAACACATGATTCAACTTTGTGTTAATAGCACAGGCCAGACTAGTCACAGTGCACCCTGATGGCCAAAGAGGGAACTTCCCTGAAGTCTCTACTCACCCAGACAGTGCGCCCTGGTGGCCAAAGAGGGAACTTCCCTGAAATCTTTACCCACGCAGACAGTGCACCCTGGTGGTCAAAGAGGGAACTTCGCTGAAGTCCTTACCCAGACAGTGCGCCCTGGTGGTCAAAGAGGGAACTTCCCTGAAGTCTTTTACCGACACAGATAGTGGACCCTGGTGGCCAAGAGAGAACTTCGCTGAAGTCTCCAGAAAATTTACTGTTCAGTTGAAATTATTGTATCTATTTTATTTATCTTGGGAGTCTTACTTATTACTTCGTAGAAAAAACTTGGTATGGAGGTTGAGCAATGGTGAAAGCAGCAGCTTGCTTGAATATGTGTGCAGTTTTACATTGTTTGCACGCCCTGAAGAGGTGTCAAATGGCATAAGTGCCTTTTTTATAGAAAAATGTTTCAGGAATAAAATACCAGTTGATCTTATCTCCTTCTATTACAGAGCTCTCTTTCAAGTTCTAAAATGGGCATGATCAGAGGGGACTTGGTGTCGTACACTGACATCTGTGATGCACTTTCGGTCACTGAAATTATTTTAGGATTCTTGGCTACAACTGGAGGTGACTCACATATGACTTTGACTGATTACACTGAAAATGTCCTGCGGATGAGCAATCAGATAAGTCTTCCAGTGATGAAGGTGAGTGCAGGGGATCAGAGGCTCACCTTTCATCTCTGCAAGAGGAAAGAGAAAAGCCAATGAGGCTGAGGCTATATACTGTATGTGTAGCTCAGACTGAGAAAGGTAGCTGACGTTTTCCTCACTTAGATCAGATCTGTACTATTCTGATCACTGAAAAAAGTTTCTAAACATGTTCATGAGTGGTAAATATCGGTCTTGAGATTATAGTAGAGAATTATCCTTTTAATTGGACTGTGCTTTGGTAGTGTTCGGGTGGTGGAAAGGAAAAGCATAGTACGACTGGAGAGCTGAAAAAGATCCCTGATGGATCAAGTAAGTGCATTTCAAACAGGTTATTTACTTACAAGAAATTTATAAGTAAAACAAATACATCCCACTGTTTCTACTGGCAGCCAATGGCCATTACCACATTTTAAGTAATACTTTCTAGGATTTATTAAGCAAATTTCCAGGTTGACCGATTATAACAACTATAAGTAGCTTAACATCTCTGGACATAAAATAAAGAATAACACCCAAAAGATGTATCATCCAGAGGAAACAGTAGAGATTAAAAAACGAGTGCATAGAACATCTTACTCCTAAATGTGAAATTTCATTAATTCTTAAGTTCAAAGCTGGGCTTTTGAGTGCAAAACAGATCATTTTTAATTATTGAGAAAATGCTTGAAATATGGATGTTTTGAAATTTTGTTCCAGACTCAAACACTATTCAGAAGAATTCCGTTTAACAATTGGAATAGTTTGAAATCTCAAGTTAGGAAACATTACTAAATTAATATTTGAAATGTTTCATGGCAAAACATTTTGTGCACCCCGGCTTCTAATTTTTAAATTATATTTGGTCGTGCTGCTTATAGTTAAATGTAATATTATAATTAGTCCTGCTTTTTAAAAAGTCTACTTCTTTGTCTAGACGACTACTGCCTTTACCAACTGGAACATTGCTATAGTCACCTAGAAAAACCCCTTTCCATTGTTATAATCACCTAGAAAAACCTCTTTCTTCCCAGGATAGCCCTAGACTGGACAAAAACATTATGGTGCCAGAGCTGTAATCCACAATATACAATCTAGGTACTCTTGAATTATAAGGTGTTGAGAGGCAGTGCGGAATGTTTGTTGTCCTTTGACATCAGCTGTCTCATACAAGAGTTGAGTTTGGTGTTGGTCTGCACAGAATTTACATGAAAAATGTTGGCAAGTGCTCTTCCCATTAAAAGATTTGTAGAATTTATTAGAAAAGGTGATATTAATATTTGGCTTTATTGCCTAAATGGCCATCCATGAATGCCATTTAGAAATACGTTTGCTTTATCATTTGCAAAATAATCTTTCATGTTTGTGTATGTTTGTATTTCTTTTAGGCACTGAGCCGATGTCAGCTAAAGCATGCCATTTCATTGTGGCAGCTCCTTTCTAGTCATAAATCAGAACAGCTGCTGCATTTGAAAAAGGTAGGATGTGGATAAGGATGTGCTCACTAGACACTTTTTGTCGCTGTTTTCTCTCCGCTCCCTGCTTAACTGTTCCTCTCCGTCTCTTCCTCATAATGTATTATCCAGGATCCTTTTGGAGAGATCAGCGCAAACTATAAAGAGGAACTCACAGTGGATAATATCGATCTTCTCAAAGCTTTCCTCACCCAGACAGCGCTGGAGTCCTTCCTTCAAGAGTTGCATGAAATGATCATGCTGAAATTGAAACATGCCAGAACTGGAGAAGAGTACAGTCCTACGTGGAGGTAAGAGTGTGAGCAGCCCAATCCCTTTTAGAGTGAAATACATCCTGTTTTGCAGAGTATCTTATTGTTTTGGGCTTATTGGTTTTCTTTTTTTCCAGCCTGAAAGAAGCATTTATTCCATATCTTGAAGGAAAAGGTAGCAGTGAGCTTCAGGACTTGGATGATATGTTCCCAGAAGATATCCAGGTTTCCCAGTGTATCGCTGCCTGGAAAATAGCTGCTACTCTTAAACGGGGTGGATGCGGTCCAGGAAATTAATCCAGACACTTTTCCACTCTTCCTCACTCTTCACTGATGAGCAGAGCAGTGTATTTAATTGTTGGTTTTTCTTTTTACTTGTACAAAAAGAAAAGGAAGGAAATAACAAATTTTTGCACTTAGGGTGATTCTAAATTAAAGGATTATGGTGCTATATGTGAATAAATAGTGATGCACAAACATAAAGGAGTTGGTGCTTTAAACAATGAAGGATTTCTAGAAAATACAAGTTGGATAGCTACACTTGATTCAAAGAAAAGTATTTTAATTGTTAACAGATTTCTGAAAGGACCATGTAACGTCTATAACTTTGGGCTTATAGACTTCATTATAAATTTTCTTCTTTAATCTATTTAGAATTGGCAGGGAGCAGAGAAACAATCTATCTTTTCTCATATACTGAATTGTCTACTTCTCTAAGACTACGTATTTGAGCAAGTAGATAGAATCAAGCAAGTATGTAAGTGAACCATCCCAACTATGTTTTACTGATAGTCTTCTGAATTGAATACTATATGAAACAGGCCATGAAGTTGCGCTTTCTTTGATTTACTGAGTTTTGGAAATTATTTTTTTTTCTGTTAAAAGATGCTCTAAATAAATAAAAAATAAAAGACTGAAAGTTTTTGGCTGCCAAAGATAAGTATGTTTTTAAATAGTTCCATTCTTTTTGAATAGTTAATTGACATTTGTATCAAGTTATGCATTAGGCATTGTCATTCCAGCCCTCTAGGACTTAAAGAAATGGAGTTTGTGTTCTTCCTTCGATTGTACGGGGATAATGTCTTAATAGAGGTAGCTATGCTGGCAGAGAACAGTATGCCTCCACTTACTTTTTCACTATTCAAAAATTGCAATTTATAAAAGTTGCTTTCTAGTCTTTTTTTTCTTATAATAAAAAAATCCTTGTTACAAAAGTGTTCAAAAAAATCCTTGTTACAAAAGTGTTTCTTATAATAAAAAAATCCTTGTTACAAAAGTGTTTCTTATAATAAAAAAATCCTTGTTACAAAAGTGTTACAAAAGTGTTATTACTTCTATAGCACCTTACAATTTTATTACCTTTCTTGAGCTGGGGAACATGATTTTGGTTTTACTGCTTGACATTTAGTTAATTGACATTTAGCAATTCACCAATTTTACCACAGATTTCTTCGAAGGAGGGAGCTTTACCTCACATCTCGTCATTGCTATGTGAATGTAATCCATGAACCATAGATTTAACTTGTTCAGAGATTCTTTGTGTGAGAGGAACCTTCTATAAGAATTGGCTTATCAACCACACATTCTAATCATTGGTGCAAAATAAAAGTCACCCAACCTGCCACCTGTAAGGAAAATTGGGAAGACGTTGCTCTTCATGTGTTCTAATGGTAATTTCTCCTTTCATTTTAGTTAATGAGAGGGTAATCTTTTCTCTCTTCGATGGTAATTTTTCCTGGTTTATAGTATGTCCAATAAAGTCAGTTCTTTTTCCCCCTTTATGAAATTCCCTTCATTGGGTTTTTTTTTTTTTACTGAAGTTTCCTAGACATGTACTCTAAGATTACACATTCGAAGCTGAAGAACAACGAGATTTTCCATTTCTAATTAGGAAACAGGAAATTTGTTTCCTTGTGTTGGAAGTCAGCCCCCTCCCCAGAAAGAAAGAAATATTTTTGGAAATATTTAAAAAGCAGAATATATTTCCCTAAAGGATTTTAAAAGCAGAAACCAACCCCGCCCCCAAGTCTCTCTGTCCCAGATAGAAACCAAGTCTGCAGAATTGCAGATGTGATAATCTTGTCAGAAAGACTCGAGTCAGGAAACGGATTAGGAAGAAAGATCCCTAGAATCCACAATCCCTCACAGCAAAAATCTAAGAGTCATCAGCCACAGTCCCAGGGAAGCAGGATATGACCTTTGGGACATAATAGGATTAACTCACCACCATCAGAATACTAGAAAGGCACACTTGGACTCAGGTCAAAGTTCGTGCCACAGGAACAACTCTAAACAAAAGGCTCAAGAAGGTATACAAACCCACTCCCTACATGTGCTTGTTCTCTTTTCTTCCAGAACCATCTTTCTTTTTTTTTTTTTTTTTTCAATATAAAATTTTATTGTTTTTATCATAAAAGAAGAAATACATCACAGGTATTACACAATGATTTATCCCATCCCCCCACCCCCCGGACTTCCCAAACCAAACCTAGGCTAACATTCAAATACAAGTAAACAAATATTAATATCTCTAACTCCAAACTCTAAACTTAAACAATCCATCTC